AGTTTCCTGTAAGGGGTAGGTTTAGGGGTAGGGTTGGTGCAGGGCAGTGGTCACCAACCTTTTTAGGCCCAAGATCCCTGACATCGGCCTTTATGAAAGACAAGATCTACCTATTGAAGAATTGATAGAAAAAGACATCCCAGATTGTACTTCAAATTTGAGGCCTTTTACTTAGTATTTTAATTAGTGATGCGCCGATCATAGCCCATAAAACATGGAAACACAACATGTGTGTGGAATACATTTTAGAATTTTAGAATGCTTTCACCACCATCAAAATGAAACCATGTTCTCCAGCGATCATGAAATATGTATCTGATTCTCCTTGATAAGACAGAAAGCCTTTTTATGTGCCACTCTAGAGCGTAACACAGCTCTATTAGTGTGTAAAGCAAATCCTGCATCTGGAAGATGGAAATTCAACAGTAGTAGATTAAATGTTAAACACATTTGTGTTTATGTGGATTGATTAGATATGTGAACAGCCTCGTAACTTTCCCTACACAGTATTGGCAATTTCTGCAGAGTGAGTCGATCATATTCATAATGATATTACGTAAATATTTTCTCGAGTGCTCTTGATTTTCAAAGTGGACCACTTTACTCTGGGTATATATCTTGCAGACGTTGTCAATATTTACCAATGCTACATAATACAAGATAGTTCAGCTCTACTGTTGCAAGTTCAATACATATTTGATTTTATTTAATATGAAACGATATCAGTCAAAGTTGAGCCCTGGATTCACTAAAGGCCTTGAGGTGTAAATGTTTGAGAGGGAGCAAAGGACATTGTTATGCACAGGCTGTTGGATAGACAGTCCCAAATGAGGACTGGTATGATTATAGCAATATACTCAGAGAGGCAGGACTGTAATTGTGAGGTAGACACCCAGAGGATCTTGCACATTCAGCATGTTCTGCCACTTGACATTGCTTTAAATGTTTAGAATGATGACAGCTTGGCTGAGACTTGGGACTGCCAGTCAATCTAACCACAGCTCTCTATAGTGACAATACTGTGCCTGGAGGCTTTTTAGTTAGTGAACAGATCACAATTATAATTTACTTAGAATTTCAGCCAGAGTTGATCTAACTCTCTAGCCATAGTCTGTTGCAACATCACTTCCTGAAGTAAAAAAAAAAACCGCTCAGTAGTACTTAGTGACGGGCGATTCGCGAATGAATCGTTCATGTGAACCGATTCGTTGTCATTCAAAGCGTTTGCGCTGGTTAGACTATAAGGGTCAAAACAACTTTTGGTGTAAAAACGTGTTGAAAATAATAAATTACGCTACATTTGGCATTTTTATTTATTCGACCACGTTGGAAAATTATTTGACGTCACACAATAATGAATTTACAGTAAATAGCTACCACCAACTTAGTAGCAAACCATAATTTACATAATTGAAAAACCATTGCCTAATTTACATAACCCACGGTTTACTTAGGCCTAATTGAAAGCGTTAATGCGTGCCACTGACAGCGTAAACCAAGATGATTTCCTTGTCTTTGCTGGTTTTAGAAGAGCTTAATTATGCTAATTATTATTATATTATATGGGCTATACTTCATGCTGCCGTTGAAAGACCTAGGTTTTGGGGTCACTTTTGACTAACGACTCGAAATAATTAGTGAATCGATTCTTTTGAACGGAATCATCGGAACGAAACCGAATGAATCGAATGCTTAGTGATGCTTGCTGCTTTCTCTCTGCCCGCCTCCAAACACGCAGTCGGTGGTCATGTGCGCCAAAGCCCACCAATCTCCATCTCCTCACTCCTATGAGACCGCTCTCGGCTTTGACGTCATCGTGCGCTCCCTCCGGTTGCTACGGCAACCCGTCTCACGCACCCCCTCTCCCTCCCCACCCCTTTTCCATCCCTACGCTGGTAGGATTCATAATGGTCCAGGCAGCATCCTGCAGCACAATGGTGAGCGCGCAGTGATTCAGCATCGCAAACTCAGGCTTTAATCCTTCTCTTTTTGTTTCATCTACATTTTTTTCTTTATATCTGTTTGATTCGACCTCACAGTGGTCTTTAAAACCGTCGCCTAACGGGATGTTTTGAACAGGACTGGACTGTCACCGGATCGGGATCGTAGGACGGGCAGCTGGCACGGAATGGTAGGTCGGTCGTTCGGTCGGTGGGAGATGTTGATGCGGGAACCTGAAGGGTGGGGTGATGAATATTGATCGCTATGAAGGTTAATGAAGTCGATGCCTTTGTGGCAAAGGAAAATAAATGATCAGTCACGACGACTGTCGGTGCGCACGAGAACGATCTCTAAACGGCAGGATTTATTTGACCGGGTCTGAGCGTGTGAGCGCACATCCATCCATGTTTTCCCTGCATCACTCGCAGTCCTGCATCATATGTCCTGTTTCCAGTGACGGCAGGCCTTTGTTAGAATATGGACTGATAGAATCTGGAGTCACAACAATGACATGTACATGCAAAAGCAGGTGAATATATAAGACTTTTGTATGATTTACTGGCTATTTAATTCCAATATAACGTTCTATTCTACTTAAAGAGGCAAAACTTGGTATAATTTTGCAGTTTAAGTTCAGATTTTGAGACTATTTCTTGCATTTGATCTTTTTAAACTTATCGAAGCATATGTGAGTTCATTCTGGAGTCTGAGATGGGACATTTGATCGCTATGAAGGTTAATGAAGTCGATGCCTTTGTGGCAAAGGAAAATAAATGATCAGTCACGACGACTGTCGGTGCGCACGAGAACGATCTCTAAACGGCAGGATTTATTTGACCGGGTCTGAGCGTGTGAGCGCACATCCATCCATGTTTTCCCTGCATCACTCGCAGTCCTGCATCATATGTCCTGTTTCCAGTGACGGCAGGCCTTTGTTAGAATATGGACTGATAGAATCTGGAGTCACAACAATGACATGTACATGCAAAAGCAGGTGAATATATAAGACTTTTGTATGATTTACTGGCTATTTAATTCCAATATAACGTTCTATTCTACTTAAAGAGGCAAAACTTGGTATAATTTTGCAGTTTAAGTTCAGATTTTGAGACTATTTCTTGCATTTGATCTTTTTAAACTTATCGAAGCATATGTGAGTTCATTCTGGAGTCTGAGATGGGACATATAGTGATGATGCACCTGGTTGATGTTTTTTTTTTTTTATGTGAGTATATGGTACCAAGCATGAGGAAGCAAATATATAAAAACTGATAATAAAAAAGCTTGCTGTGCTTTGATTTATTGCCACCTATAGTTGAATATAACCATTATTCAATGACAAATAAAGTACCATGAAACACGATGATATCAGATTTATGTGTGATGCACATGATGGAAGACAATGCTAGCATTCAGTATTTTAAATTTTAAGATCAAATTGGATTTTTAGGGCAATTTTTGGTTTCAGGTTTGAAATAAACATCAAGTCAGCATCACAGGATGTTACGTTTTCATGCACTATAGTGCATCATTTTTTCATAAGACTACATGGAATAACAGTTTCAAACGTTTTTAAAAATGCAAAAGCGCATTCATATATATACTTGACGTAAAATACAAATGGCTCTGTATTTATTTTTGCATTAAATTACTTATAAAAATGACCTGGAAGTATTTGTGTAACGTATTGTGAGCTTAAAAATGAACTATAATGTATTTATGCAAACTGCCTCAATTGAACAAAGAGTTATGTTATCGCCCTCTTCACTTAGGCTTTCAATGCCTACTTTTTTGCATTTTTCAAAACTGGTGATCTGACCTGTGCTGAAATGTTTCATGGCACTTTAAGCATGCTTTTGTTTTAATGCAATGGCACAACGTGGCTTTTAAACATTAGTGCTCTGTTAAAACGAGCCAATTACTGCCGGGTTTGGCATGGCACAGCACATAATACTGAGGGATATCCATGGACCAATCATCCATAGCCCCCCAAAAAGACCCCATATGGCTAATTAGGCTGTTCCATTGTGTCTGTATATTGTTAAGTCACATAACACTGGGAGCCCTGGTTAGATTCTCCTCACGGTTTAGTCTTAGAGGTTGTCGTGATCATCTGAACTCTCATATTCTCCAGGTGTGCTGACATTTTGATTAGGATTAAGAGAGTGATTTTGGGAATGAATTAGGGAAACCTCGAGAAGCTGGAATCTTAGACGGTTCAGAAAACAACCCCTCTCTGCAAACTGACCTTGCTCCTAAGGACTTGCCTCATCGATAGACTCTTTTAGCTGAATAGTTTATTGCAAATAGATGCTTGACCCATCCCGTTATGCAGTCCACTGCAACTGACAGGGTTAAACTTGTTATTCTTATCAAGATTTATTGACTTCCTTGTTTGTTCGTGTGATTATTCAGCTATTGTTGCATTCATGTTGGATCAGTAAACTTCCCTATGAATCTTGTTTGATGTGCCACGTTCATTTGAAAGCAAAACATGGTGTTTTGTATGGCTAGTTGCAGTTTATAGTATTATGACATGTTTCAAAATGGCATATACTAGCTCTGTGGGATTGCAAAATCATACTTTTAGTCCCTGCCATACAGCTAAAGAACAGTCCCACTTAATATTTTATCTTTTGGAGCCAGTAGCTTGTTGTGTCTCTGGTTGATTGTGGTTAGGATTAGTGGACTCTGGTTAAGCCATCTCAGTGTTGTAATGTTTCTCTCACAGGCCCACATTATGCAACTAAATTCGGCATATTACAGGCCAAAGCCATTCGTAATGAGTGTGTAGATGATGTCAGTGCTAACTAGGGAACACAGTGTTATTGGAATGGTATCAACATTACCAATCTGCTATTATCAACACTTTTTAATGTCAGTGTTTGAAACATTCAGTGAATTTCTTGACTCATGCCATGCATGGGCGAGTTTTCAGAGATGTTTCTTAAGGTCATTGTTTTGTAAGAGGCTTTATTAATAAGTTGAATGTCTTTTGAAATATAGCGATTAGCTGATAAAAGAACAATACAATGAGTTATTTTGAGAAATCACTAAATCAAAAAGGTTTAAATGGGCAGTTCAACCCAAAACATTAAAATCCAGACATCAAATACTCACCCTAATGTTGTTCTGAACCAGTATGACTTTCTTTTATCCGTGCAAATAAGATTGTTCACGCTGTTCGTTTTCATATAATAAAAGTAAATGGGGACCATGGGCTGTCAAGCTCTGAAAAGGACAAAAAAGTGCAATAAAAAGCATAAAACCGTGCACTATATTCCAAATCTTCTGAAGCAATATTATAGCTTTCTTTTGAGAAACAGGCTTAAATTAAGTAATTAATTTAGTTTGACAGCCATAATCACCATTCATTTATTGTAAATAAAAGAGCACATACAATTGATATAATGCTATAAATAAATTATTTTTGTGCTCCACAGAAAAAAGAAAGTCATATTCAAAGACATGAAGGTGTTTCATTATTTCATCACCTAATTTTTTTTTAGGTGACTATCACTTTAAGGGCTTAAGACCACTTAAGATGACTATAAACCAGTATGAAAAATTACACCTCATTCCATAAAATATTATAATATTTCTGCTATTTTACGACTATTTAGTAAGTTTTACAGATTTTAAAACCTAACATTTCTTTTCCATGCATGGATCACATTACCCAGTGATATTTTATAATCATGCTTCAATTTTGGGTATTTCAGTTATTTTAAAGGATCAGCACTCTGAATTATTCGTACACGAAATCTTAAGACTTATTGTAGGCACATGTCCAGGCGTGTGACAGATGATGTCATTTGTTGATGGCCATGTGGGGTGACAGGATACTCATTATAATTGTAAGTATGTGAGAGGAGGGGCGTGGCTTTAGACAGAGCTCCACCTGCTCCTCTTCGGAGTGACTAGACGTCTATAGCACTCGCTTTCTGTTTATCAGTTGCTATCTTTTATTAAATACTGTAAAAGCAGATCTTGTTCAATAATAACCAAACCACATGATCCGTAACAACAGAATTTCAGGTTTTTAGTCTGAACTCCCACAAGCTTCCAGTGTGCTAGGCAGAGATTTAGCACCACATTTGTTTTTTTGTGCATCGTAAAATAATGTTTATGGTCAGCACTGTGGTATTCAATGAAATTTCAGCCCCAAGGAGAATGTTTCCTGTGCAAGCCGAAGGTTTTAAGATATGGATAACTTTTCACTTTTATGTTTGACCTCCTTCCTTCACTTCAAAGAGAAAGTTAATCGGGACTTTTAGCATCTCAAGTTAGCTAAATAAATGTGAAAAAAGGATAAAATGGTTTGAAATTTTATTGTTTTTAAAACAAGACACCCAAACTATCACCATCATTATTGGCAGATATTGCTTTAAGTAATATCAGTATCAGAAGTCTTATGCATCCCTATGAAATACACAACAATCATTTATCTTCATATTATATATGTTACATCCCCTTCATATTTGATGAGTCTTTGATCATGAGAGCTCTTGAATTGACAGATGGTGCAGTTATTGGCTTGCAGTTTGTTTGTATAATTACTTTCAGCTGATCATTAGGATTTAAGAGCTCATCTTATATAACTGATCGTTTCTCAGTAGTTGTAAATCCAGCAGCATCAACAACACACTATGAGTCGATTGACTTCTCTAGGCTGTTGTCGTAGATTAGTGTTCATTTTTATTTTATAGTGATTGTTTTCTTGTGATACCTGGTATTTTATATCTGAAAGCTATGTCCTATTGCAACGCTTGTGATATTGTTTGTGATCTAGTGATTCCAAATAAGATTTTATTTCTTTGGCTGAATACAAATGGAGATATTTTGCAGAACGTCCAAAAGTGGACATTGATTCCAGTGCAACTAACATTGCATTCATGGTATACATTTCATTATTTCATAAAATTTCTGGTGATAGAACCTGACTTGCCATTGCTAGCTCTATGTCAAATTCACACTCCAAATGGACAAAAAGCACCATGAAGTGGTTAATCTGAAGTCTTCCGTGGCCAAATTATATCTTTGTGTGAGTAATAGCATTATAATTAAGTCATTAGATTGTGAGGTGCCTGGTTTGAATGTGTACAATAATGATTGAAAATTACATTTTTTAGATAAACGATTCCTTTAAATACAGTTGAGCATGGCGCTAGCAATGCCAAAAGGTCATGGGTTTGCTTCCCAGGGAAAACTGATTAAATGTATACCTTGAATCCAGTGTAAATTGCTTTTGATGAAAGCATCTGCCAAGTACACAAAATGTAGATTCAGTCTTGACAATGCAGTGTCAAATGAACGTGTTGATTATTGACTCTGATTCATTGTTTTGTCAGAGAAATTAATCTCCAGAGGCATTAGTGTAAATGTCATGAATTCACATCTGTTACATAAATATATTTTCACTTGCTTTTATTAGGTGACTATAGGTGTGTGTGTGTGTGTGTGTGTGTGTGTGTGTGTGAGAGAGAGAGGGTATGTGTGTGTGTGTGTGAGAGAGAGAGGGTATTCACTTTCATTTTCCTCACACAGGAGAGAAAGTGGAAGTCATCATGCTCATGTTTTGAGAGAGTTCTGATTAAAGTCAGGAATGCTGCAGCTGTCAGCAACGGATTTATCTGATAGTATTACAGTAATGTGGACAGGAATTGTGGGATGTCAAACCACTGGAACATCTGCACTTGCTATTTTTGTATTTTTGTATTACTATATACTATATCTCTCAGATTCTACCCAGTTTGTCAAATGAATGTGATGCTATTGTTGTTGTTCAGGTATGGAACTAATTCAAAATTCAAAAGTAAATATCAAAATATCAAATATTAAATATCAAATTTAAATACTTTACATAGCTGTATTTTTAAGAAAGATACAAAGATATAAACCTTCGCTCACTTCCCTCCAAAGATGCCATATTTGTTTCACATTCAAACGGAAGTGACTCATAGCTGTTCAAAACATTCAGAGAGAGTATGATAA